ACTGGCTACTTTTATTTGAAGTCTTTTTTTACCCTAACTGCCTAGCCAATTCCTACCTCGTATTCTTATCACACCATCCTCTGAAGAGGTTACCCAAATTATCAATAGGGAGTCAGGTTGCAGACTGCTCTGGCTTCTTCCATGCTGAACAGGGATGCAAGATGAGGCAACTGGAATACCCCTTCAGTGGGTCTATCTAAAAGATTCCCAAACTGCATAACTCTTATCTGTAGGGACAAAAGGAGGTGCTTGACTGTTGAATAGGGGATGTGAAGGAGAAGTAAAGGCAAGAGTAGTTAGTATTACAAGTTCTAGATAGGGAACCAGCAAAAAGAACAGGGAAAATTTGAAATGTTTATATCGGAGTCCATTGGGATTTCTTGTCGAGAGCTTCCAAAAGCATCCCTCTATTGGGTTACTCCTCATTTTTCTTTTGTCTTCCAAGGTTGGACTTGAGAGTGATGGACTCAGGGTTTGTTTTCAGGCACTTTGATAGCTGTTGAAGTGGCTGGTATCAGTGTCAGTTCCCTCTCAAGGGCTTCTAGATAGAGGGAGAAAACAAGTTTATCCGTCATTTTAGAACAATAGCTGGTTGCCTCCCTTAGCTACAGGTGGGCACTATAGTATTGCAGATCAAGATTTGAAGTCTTATATCTGAGCAGCACTTTCTGCTTAGAAACAAAATCATCAATGAGAAATAATTGTCTAAATAACATTTTATATGGACTTAAGCCTGATGCCTGAGAAGTATAATCCCTTGAACTCTTAAAGAAATATATTGATCCCTTTAATCTTTGTTTATACTTTCCTTTTGGGTGTTTAAGACCGTACAGTTGGCTCAAATAAACCAATTTATTTTTATTTTCCAGTTCGTTGGAGGATCTGTTCCTTAGGGGTCACACAGGTTTGGGAAGAGTTGATGGCTCTTTTCTTTTACCAGTTCCATCTATGTTAAGTCAAAGGTCCTGCTCGACTCTAGCTGGCTTTACTTGGAAGCATGTAGGAGATGTTTCCTCTGAGTTGACCCTCCTCTTTGTAGACTGGGAACTGATTCAAGTCCATCTTGTGGGGTTTCCATAGCCTCCCTGCACAGGAGGACAGGTGACTCACCACAGTTACAGGACATTTTGAAAGATGCTCCATAGTCCCCTGGAACTTAGTCGACCTTGGAGGGCAAGAGTGGTTTGTTTCTTACATATGGTGAACCAAGATGTCATTTTGTAACAAATGCACTATGAAGGCATAAGAACGTGCATGTTTCTAAGTGAAACAAGCCAATCTGAAATGGTTGCCTAAGGTGGGTTCCAAGCCAATGGCATTCTAGAAAAGGGTGAACTGTGGAGATAGTGGAACTGTCAGTAGTTGCTAGGGTTATTGGGATGAACAGGCAGAGCACAGAGATTTTTTCAGGCAATAATACTGTTGTTTATGCTACTGTAATGGTGGATATATGTCATTGTATACAGTGGTCAAATTATTGATTGTGTAAGTCAAGAGTGAACCTGAATGGTAACTGAGGTCTTCCCATGATAATGATGTGTCAGTTTGGGTTCACCAACAGAACAAATGTACCCCTTTGATGAGGACTCTTGACATGTGGAGGGATCGGGAGTAGAGCAATGGGTGGAGACATAAGGTGGGAGAGTAGCAGGAGTTATGTGGAAACTGTTTTTCCCCTTTTTACTGTGAATAAAAACTGCTCTATTAAAGACTATAGTAAAATTCTTAGGCATCTTGATTTCTTTTTGCGTAATTAGGGATGGATTAAGCAAAGTGATTTGGAGTACTTTGGTTGACTGTGTTCTGTCATATCTTTTGTTTATTTAAACATGCAATAGAATTTTTTTATTCCCAGCTTCATGTAAGGTATTGTCATTTCTTGTCATTTATGCTTCAAAGTGATATCTGACATAGTTTTTATCTTTTTCATTTTTAGAGGTTTAATTTGATGTGGACTACTTCTTCCTTAGTGCCTACAAACGCCTTCAGCAAAATCTGTTTGTTGCTTCACAAAAATGTTTATGGTGGTGAATTTTATCCATTGAAGGCTTGTAGTTTGTGGTATAGTTCTGTAAATCTCATTAAAGTCTACTTCATTTCAATTTAAAAATTTTTTATTTCAGTACACATTTGGGAATACAACAGAGAGATCCTCCTGCATCTATCTGCTGAGTGCTAGGATTAAAGGCGTGTGCCACCATATCTGGCTAATGATACATTTTTAAAAGTTTTTAATTTATTTTTATTTTATGTATATGCATATATTACATGCATGTAGGTAAGTGCACCCATGTTGTGCAATGCCCGTGGAAGACAGAAGAGGCTTTCGGATCCCCTGGGACTGGAGTTAAGGACAGTTATTAGCTGTGTTTTAAATAGGAATTGTAGTTTTGTATTCTGTATTGAAGTGTTCTCAGACCCTCCTGCTTTGCCTTGTACTCTGCCCACTTGCACTCACCCTTGCTTTATTTGCACTGCTCTTTCCTGCAGCTGCCCTCCTGCCCCTTGGTCTTCACCACTGCCTGCCAGTCTTGAGGCTTTTGGGCTGGGTGGACCTTTCTTGTTCCTACTAGTTTTCCTTTGCATTCCATTGCTGCGCTCTCTTTCTTTTCTCCTCCTCCTCCCCTGTCACTTCCTTGTCATTCTCAGAAAGTGATTTTGCTTGGCATCTTATTTGAGAATCTGAGCTCTTCCTTCCAGCATGTCTTTTTCCTCCTCTCCACAGCTATTCTCTTTACCTGTGCTCTGGATTCTCCCTGTATCTTTAACTCTCCTTCACTAGGTCCACCCCTCCCCACATACCTTTTAGGACAAATCCTAAAGTTCAAATCCCTTCTGTTGTGTAAGTATAAAAATTAAGGCAGATCATCCTGCAGGCTTCTGTTTTTCTTGTTTGCATCACAGCTGGCCTAGAAACAGTCCCTCTGCTCTTGGACTCACTGTCTCAGTTTTGTTTCTTCTCCATTTCTGCAGAGTCTGGGTGCCTTTGACACACTGTGGAAGGTGCAGTCTGTGAAGCTGGCAGTTGTCCTCTTATATCAGGGTCCCCTTTCTAATTCAGCACCTTCTCTTTTGCCAGTGTTGCCTACTTTTTCCAGACATCTTTCCCTCCTGGGCTTCTGTGATATCAGGTCAGGTTTTCTTGTCCTTGCCCTAGCCATTCATGTTAGTCTGCTCTCATGGCTGCCTTGGCTGCTGCTCTTTGAGTTGTCCCTTATCACTATTTGCCCGGGTGCTGCTGTTGACACTAATCTTGTCTACAAGTGTGGGCCACTTAGACCTCAAATACTGCTCTATAATTTATGTGCTGACTATTCCTACATATCCTCTCCAGCCAACTGTATTACTTTCTTTTCAGATTTTGGTTTCCTGTTTTTACACCTGCAGCTTGGCATCTGCACTGAGGTATTCCACAGGCTCCTCAGCATCGCATGTGCAGTGCCTCTGCACTTGGTGTGAGTGTTCTCTTGTCTTCAGCCTCTATTTGAAGGGAGAGGCCAGACAATCACTCTAGACTCTTTCTCCTCCTTACCTGTGCTCGCCATCTGGTCTGACCAGCTTTCATGCTTTCTAATTATCTCTCATGTTCATTCTCCTGTAGGTCTGTAGTTATGCTGCCCTAGTGTAGCTCCTCTTTGTTTGTTGTTTAGTACATAGGTAGTATTCAGCAAATATTTACTCAGTAAACAAATGAATGTACCAAAAAGTGAGTAAACAACTGAAGCAGTACATTTCTGGCAGTATCTTCTAACACCAGGTGCTGCAGTGCTCCCGAATGGTCTTTCTGCTCTCAGTTCATTTCTCATTCATTATTCACACAAATTCACCATTCAGTCAATATTGAGTATTCCCCCCAAAGTATAAATGTTTATGACGTGCTGTTCTGGAACTGTCCTCCAGACATGGGATGACTCCTGCCATCCTAAAACCAGAGCTGCTATGATTACCTGGATTAGCTCCATGAAACCCTCACAAGGATGGATCCACTAACATTACTTTATGAAGAAAGGAGATAGTTCACCAGACAGCACACTAGACCCTGACCTTTCCTGAGGATATATGAGCAGTAAACAATTAGTGGTGAGTAGGAGTCTGTTTGATGTAGTTGCCCATAAGTTATTCATGTTCTTGTAAATAGCCTCAGTTCAAATCATTGCTTCACCAAGCTAGACTTGGGTGGAATCTTTCTTTGATTTGTCATCAGTGCCCTATATAGGGTGAATAGATATTTATGTTTCCCCAGGAAAAGTCACAGATCACAGGTCTTAATTGGAAAACCTTCAGTCAGGTGTTTTCGGATAAGCAGTGAATTCTTTAGCTTTGTAAACAATTTTCCTCATTATCTGGCCCTTCCCATTATGTAAGCTGTGACTTCCTACTTTTTTTTTTGGGTCAAATGGATCTAATTTATACTTTTGAAGTGCGCTGTGCTTCCCTACCTTCTAGGCTGTTCTTCTGCCTTTAATGTCTTCTTCACCCAATTAATATTTATTAGTTCTTCAGGGCCCATTTTTAGGTTCTCCCTCTCTGGGGAAAGTCCATGATACCTTCAGGTTGGCTTAAGTCTCTATGGATTCCAGTCAAGACACAGTCCTTACTTCACTGTATCAGTTGCCATGTTTCTGAATGTCTAAATCTTTGGAGAGACTTCATCCATTCATCTTTGTATTCCTAGCACCTAGATTGCTGTTAACTTATTTTGGGTCCTCAGGGAATAATTTTCAGTTTTGGAACAGGAGAGTAGGGGTAGGTACGAGAAATGATGGGTGTAAGCCACACTAGATGATTTTCCCATCGATCAGAGAATATGCCACTTTACAAATTTGATCAGGCAACAGAAGACAAATGTCAGTCTGCTGAGCAACTGGAGGAAAAACAGTTCTTTGTTTAGTTAGAAAATGAATATTTATTGAGTGCCTGCTGTAAGGGAGGCTGCAGATGGTTAGGCACCAAAGGGGGAAAGCTAGGAAGCGCATCTTCATTTCCGAAGCAGAGTGCTAGTTCTGTTCATTTGCCTTTGTCGTATTTGATATGCTATCATTTCCTCCGCTTGTTATTCTGATGTGAGAATTAAATGGAGATATGTCCATAAATCTGTACTACGAACTGTAATGTTCTATAGATTTAAGATGCTATCTTTCTCTTCCTATTTGTATCTTCATCAGTCCTGCTGATGGATTCATTTGCAAAAGTTTGATACTGATATAGATGATAAATAACTTCAGTACTTTTGTAGGGAGAAACGTTTCTGATAATGGAATTCTATAAAATAGTTATATAAGAATTTGATTCTGCACTAGAGGCTTTCACTTTGGACATATAAGAAATATGTGCTGCTGTTCAATTTTAGGTTGACTGTGCTTTGTCACTTGTTCGCCTTGGAATGGAGCGACATATCCCTGGCTTGCTAGTTCTCTGTGATGATTTGGTGACTTTGGAAACAATGGTATATGAAGCCGGATGTGACTTAACCCTCACTCTGAAAGAACTCCAGCAGATGAAAGACATTGAAAAACTAAGATTACTGATGAATCATGTAGGTGTAATTTAATTCTCCTTTTAAATGTTCCCTATGGGCTTTGATTACTATGTGTTACAAACCAAATATGAAATGTCTACTGAGCCTGAAAGCTTAGTTAAATAAACGACAATTTCTTTACATTTTTTCCAAAATGATATTTTTATGTAAGTTATTGGAGGAATCAAAAACTCTTACCTGTTTTTATACTTTGCTTTGCTTTGTCCTTGACTCTCTTCTCTTGTGCCTCCCAGTAACCCCTACCACATTTTTTTCTTTCTCCTTTTGGTCTCTGTCCTCTCTTATCCATCTGCTTTTCTTTTTTTTTCTCTCTGGCCCTAGCTTCTTTTTTCTCAATAATTTCTTTTCTGTAGAATCCATCTAGTGAATTTTGGTTTGTGTTGTATGTAAGACTCTGCTTGAGTTGTAGGTTTATCTACTGGGGCAGTTCATACAGGGATGGTACATTTTTAGGGCTGATGAATCAAATCACCCATGTCATTTGGAGTATTATAAAGGTGGATATAAGGAGTAACAGAACAAAGAAGAAGGAAGAGGGCGGAGAGACTGGGTTTTCTAAGTGGGTGCCATTCCCAAGTGGCTCCTTTTCTAGTTTGTCTTTGCTCACCTGTCTCTTTGTGCCCCTGTGCTTTTCTTTTTCACTCTTTCGGTTGGCCTCAGGTGTCTCTCTGTCTCTTGTCACATGTTCTTTTCTGTCTTCTTCCCTGTTCTGGAGGGCCTTCAGGCTAAGAAGTAGTAGCTGCAGGTGTGTCTTCCAGAGCTGGGCCTGGGTCATGTGAGCCCAAGTCAGTTATGGTCTGCAGAGATGTGCTGTGTGGTTATGGCCAGTGCACCAGCCTGAGAATAATGTGACAAATTCTGTCTCCTGTTAGACCTCAAGTGAGTGGGGCTCTGCAGTGTTTTAGAAAGTATGGGTTTCTACTGCTTTACATCAGTCTGACTTGTCCAGTATAATAAAATATTTAATTAGCTGCTTGTTTGTTTTGATTAATTTTATTCCAGTGTTCCGAGGAGAAATATGTGACAAGTGCCTACCAGTGGATGGTTCCTTTTCTTCATCGTTGTGAGAAACGGTCTCCTGGTACAGCTAATGAACTATTAAAAGAATATCTAGTAACGTTAGCCAAAGATGACTTAAAATTTCCCCTGAAGATATTTCATCATTCCAAACCTGATGTAAGTAGAAAGTCTAATTTCCCATCCTTTCACTTTTTTTCTCTGCTCTATAGTTCTATTTATAAATTTTTATTAAAGGTTTTGGGAAGAATTTCCCTTTAAGAAGAAAAGCGTGGTTGTCATTTTATTCTTTAAAAATGTTTCAATATCGTTGATCCACACTTTTTCAAAAGTTTACACAACTATGGTTATTTTGACTCATTCATTCAATATTTATGCTAAATGTTGGAAACTGTCACTACCAAGACTCATAGTTGATAGGTATTCATTCTTGCTGTCAAGGCTTTCATTAATGTTAACTCATGTAATTCCTTTAACAATTGTTATATGAACTGGCTATTTTTTTAAGTCCTAGTTTTAGAGAAACTTTTGCTATCAAGTGGTTATGTGATTTCCTAGGGTTACGCAGTAGGCCAAAGAACCTAGATTAAGAGTATTCTAAGCCTACATTTGTGTTTTTATCCAGCATATTTTATGCCATCACTAACTAATAAGAGAATGTTCCTTCCCTTGAGTACATTCAAATAGTTTATGAAATCTTAGGTTTTCTTAAGGATGTCTTTCAATCATCCTTAATAATTCTTAGAGTTATAGAAGACAACATTTACAACTTTGTTTCTAAAGTGCTTGGATTTGTTAGAAGTAAAGCCATTTTGTTAAGCGCAACATTCTTTTGTATTGTGAAAACCTCTTAATGTAGTCATAGAGCAAATACGCTTTTCTAGGCAGTAGTGGTTCCCATTTCACTGGAGGTGGGGTCTGGGTGGGGGAGATGTCACTCTGACCCTGACATGAGACTAGCGTTTAAGCCAAAGAAATTTCAGGCTTCTTCCAGTCCTTAGTTTTGATTGAGCCCACCTCCTCAACCTTGCCTTTGTAAGCAGTGTGTAAGAGCAGTGATCATAGGGTGGTATGAACCAAGTGGAAAGGAAGGCATTGCTGTATTGTAGGCCTTTTTTGCTCATAAGAGGGTCGCCTGTCATAAATGTATCTGCTCATTGGTTATTTAAACTTTTCCATCTTCTCTTAATCAGTTTGCACTTAGTATCTGGTTTTACGTTTGGGGTAGTTTCCTGTGAGCCCTGGTGGATTGCTTATGGCAGCAGAATACTGTATGAGAAGCAGGACGGATTGAATATGAATGTTTTATGACTTTAAATTCTTTCCAGCAATCTTGTTTTCGATAGTTCTTCCATATAGAATCTTGTAAATCTTTTGTATATGGTCAGCTTTTTATTGTTTTTACCTGGCAGTTTAGCATGTGCTTTTGAATAAAACATATAGCCATTTGCCTTTGTTGAAATGTATGAATATCAGACAGATAACAATGATGCTGTTAGGTTCTTCCTTTCCAGTTCCACCACCATGTTTTTCTCAGTGCTATCTTCCTACAACACAGATTTAATTGTGTCATAGTCATGGAAATGTTCCCAATGCCTTGTGAGAGGATTGAGTGGAGCTTAGCTACAGTCTAGCCTGCTTCTATCCTCTCTATGAGCACATGAGGCCACTGTCAGGGAACTTCTTAACTCTTTACCCCATCAGGACTTTTTTGGCTCCCAATGTTTAATTCTTTTTTTAAATGGTAATTTCCTTCCTCTCCCTCACTTACATAACTGTCACTTCTTTGAGGTCCTGCTCCATTAGGTTTTCTCAGCTGTAAAATCATCCATGCTTTATATCTGTGCTGTGACAGGTCTTTGTACTGTCTCTATTATAACCTCTTCCACAGTGTGTTGGAAATATTTGTATTTGTTCTCTCTCTCCCTCTTCCTCTCCTTTTCCCTCTCCTTCCTCCTCCCCCTGACTCTCCCTCTCTCCCCCATCCCCTATCCTCAAAGTTTTTCCATCTTTTCCATGATAGCATGCTGCCTAGTCAAGAACATGTACTAAGTATGTTTTGTTATGTTTTGTTAGGACAAATGAGTAAAATGAAAGGTTGGAACTAATGCTGTAGATCACCTGATTGCATTTATTTGCTTTACTGGGATGAAGAGGGAACATTGTTGACATTTTATTTTAATTATAAAAAGAATGAACCTATGCTTTGCTGTGAATCATTCATAGAGAACTGTTGTAACAGCAGTACTAACTTCTATATCATACAGATGAGACAAGGTTATGATAACACTAACAAATGATCTCTAAGTCTTAGTGGCTTATAATAGCAACCGTTCATTTTTCACAAGTGTCCTGCCTTTGGCTTCTGCCATCTTCCATGTCTTACCCAGTTGAGCACTCAGGTGGAAAAATCAGTCTCCTTTTCTATCCTGAAATAGAACAGTAGACCCACACAGTGACTTTCAAAGTTTTAACTCAACAGTGATTTTCAGCTTATTTCTTGACATTTTATGCGGGAAGAAAGTCTCATGAGCAAGCTTGTTACTACGGAGGAAGGGAGAAGCAATCCTCCCACAGAAACTTGGGAGAGAATACTAGGGGATGACAATGCTGGTGACCAGAGTCACAATGAGAAATGGTGGTTCTAGAAAATGTGTCCATGTGCTGCCATTGCACTTGCCTGCAGTTTGTTTCCTCAATTCCCTCGTGTCCCCCAAGCTCTCTTCTCTTTTATGACACCCTGAAGCACTCATCCCTGATTTTAGCCATTGCTTGTTGCTTGCATCCGTCTTTGAAAATGAAACTTGTGCTGAAATTTGGGAGACTTTGTAGATAGACAAGTTCAAGTGACCCAAGGACAGAATCTGCTGCCTTCCCTTATTGTTTTGCCTTCTAAATTAATAAGCTTCAAACATGTCTGTGCATCTAAACTGTGTACCTTTTTTTAAAACATAGAACTTTCCACGCCCAGTCTATGGATAACTGATTGGTAATTAGGGAATAGAGCCCTTGGATATGGCTTTGATAATTTAGACAGTGATTCTGAGAGAAGCCAGGGATAAGGTGCTTTAAGTGTCCATTTATTCTTTAGCAGATAGGTACTTAACTACTGACCATGGCTTTGTGAGGTACCATTCTTTTAAAGTTCATTTCTGATTACATAATTCAGCAGGCAATTTTAATTTTTTTTTTCTAATTTCGAACAAGTTCTCATGTTGGGCAGACTATCCTCAAACTCATGATTACCCTCCTCCCTCAGCCTATAGAGTGCTGGGGTTATAGATGTACACCACTATGCTTGGTAACAGTTTTATTTTTAAATTTTAAACTTGGTGTTTACTATAGAATATGGAGAAACCCTAGGAAAATCATAAAGACCAAGATAAAAAATATTGACAGTATTGATTTTTAGAGACAGGGTCTCTTTTAGCCCCAGCTGGCCCGGAACTTGTGTTGACTATGTAGAGAAGCACCTGCCTCTGCCTCTGTATTAGTCAGGGTTCTCCAAAGAAACAGAACCAGTAGAATGAATATATATGTATAGGGATTTATCAGCTTAGTTCACAGGATAGAGTCCGAGTAGTCCAACAATGGCTGCACCACATTGGAGAGGCTGAGAATTAGTAGTTGCTCAGTCCACAAGGCTGGATGTCTCAGTAGTCCCAATCTGGCACTGAAATATCTGACAAATTCCAACAGATCAGCTAGTCTTCAGTCTACAGCAGCAAGATGAACTCACCAATGAGAGAGAAGGCAAGCAGAAAGAAGCCTGGAATTCTCCGCTGCCTTGGCCTATTATATGGGCTACCATTGGAAGATAACGCCCACATTTAGGGTGTGTCTTCCAGCTTCAGATGATCCAATCAAGAAGATCTCTTTCAGTTAATCCCAGATCCAGTCAAGTTTACACCCAGGATTAGCCATCACAGCCTCCTAAGTGTACCACCATGCCCAGCCTAACTAAATACTCTTAAGTAAATACTCTTAAGGCGCTTCCATTGTAAAATATCTGTAAGTACTCACTAAAATTATGTTTATTTGCATATCTGACCTTTTATAAAAAGTAAGAGAAATTCCTCCTGGTTAAAAGTGAAGAGGGAAAAATCTGAGAAATACAAGAAGAATGCAGTGGCTGTATAGGGTAGCCATTATAGTTTCCTGTTTAAAAAGTGTGGAAACAAACTTTACCTACCATTGGCACATAAGACAGCAAAGATGCTGCTCTCTTGGCATGTACTCTAGATTAGAGAGTTTCCAGGATGGAGCATGGGATTTCTTTTTGAATACTTAAAATAGCAGAGTTGCCTAACACAAACTTGTGGTCTGTGGTAAAGTTGGGTCTTGTTTGCTTGATGGTGGCTAAAGCAGAGCTGCCCAAGGGACCTTAGTTTTGCTAACTGTATAAGGTTCCCATAGATAGAGCCCAAGGAAGACCAGCTTATAGTCATAGATAGAGCCCGAGGAGGACCAGCTTATAGTCATACATAGAGCCCGAGGAGGACCATCTTATAGTCATAGATAGAGCCCGAGGAAGACCAGCTTATAGTTATAGATAGAGCCCGAGAAGACCAGCTTATAGTCATAGATAGAGCCCGAGGAAGACTAGTTTATAATCAGAGTTTATAGGACACAAAATAATCTATGAGCTGAAGGTAAGCAGACAGGGATTTTTCCCTTCCCATGCTGATAAAAAAAATATCAAAATCAACCTTTTTTTTTTTAGAAGTTGCCATGATTTTTCTTGGCTTTTATTAGCATGTGTTAAAATCATATTATCAAAACACTACCTGAAGAACATGTATTGTTCTGAATAAAGTGCTTAAGGAAAAAAATACAACTTATTAAATTGGACATTCTTTTCTAGTTCGTAAATTCTGGGTTACAATCAGGGAGAAACAGAATGCAGTACTAGAGAGCAGAAGCTTAATTAAGAACTTGGGTATAGACATAAAATCATGTCCCATTCTCCCCACTTCCTTGCTGACTGAACGCTGCACCTGCATAAAGCAGCAGACAGCTTTGTTTTAATAAATGTATTTCCCTTCATTCAAATGAGAAAAGTTATCATAAACACTTTTATGTGACCATTGTTTATACCCACAGGCAAGATTTATACAGAGTTTAAGGGTGAAAGTTATTCTACCAGGTCTTTAGCAAAATCAAACTTTTAAATGAATATTTGAAGATCTGAGGCACAAGTGATATGAGTGTGGTAGCTTGAATGAGAATGTCCCTCATAGGCTCCAAGTATTTGGACATTT